GGTCCAGACATTCTCCTCGGCTCGTGGTTTTCGAGAATCACATTGATTAGGTGCATTGTGGATCGAAATGGAGCTTCTATTTTACCGGTACGCATCTCTAAAAACATGGACAGACTGGTATTATAAGCGTAGGTTTGCATATTTATTTTGTACACTATTTTAATTCATATCACACAGATTCTTTCCCCAGATTGCAAATTGTTATTGTTAAGACGATGGAGAATATAGTTTTCGTTCACCCTATAGTTTAAAGTCTGTAATTTTAAGCAAGCCTTCCGAATAGACTATATTTTCTAAAAATGAATCGTGCGAGTATGTAGTCGTTTACAAACAAATGTAAATTTTGTGTTGAAAGTTTGTGTAAACCGAAAGGACTGGGTGGCTGTCTCTGGCCTTTGTTGTCACGCGCCCCTAATCCTCTTAACGACGCGGGGTTGGTATGCTTTATGACTGGTGTAAATCGGAAGTCATAAGAGTTCGGTTTACTTACTAATTCCACAATAACCACATAAAGATGAAACAAAATGTAATATAACCACACGCCTACCGTCGGCGGTGTCAGTTGAATGAATGCGTTGATTTTGTACCACGACATTCAGTAGGGGAAACCAGGATTATTTGAGCAGCACAAAGTACCGATTTTAATCTAGTGCGTAATTTGTGGCTTGAATGCAATATCTAAATTGCACTTTTTAATTATGTTTCCTGTGTTTGCTTATCTGCAGCAGCATTTTGCAATACCAAAGACTAGCGTCGGTATACCTTGTTCCACAAAGTGTGGGTCGCAGATTTTTGCGGACCTCAGTTACATTTTTATTTCCATCATTCACTGACTCTTTCTAATTTGCAAAGTTGGTGTAACGTGATATGAGATGAGACGCTGAGCATGGATGTAGGTGAGGATTTGGAAGTAGGCGGCTGTGGTCTGCTTACGGGCACCGTCTTTGACCTCGTCTGGAAATTAACGTAAAATATCAGTCAGATAACAGATGAATCGACCAACACTCAAACCAAGTACCTCTTGAATACGAGTCCTGAGCGTTACTGCTACACTAACCTGTTCTGTTGTCGCCGTCATCTTGGCGGTTTATATACTTTTTATATTCTGGCTTCAAGTGGAATCTTTATGATTGGGTCTACGTTTCAAAACCGGCTGTATAATTTATATACGGAGTTAAAATGGGTCATGTTGCACTTCGTTATCTCTGTCGCATTTCTCGGATCACACGAAACCTCTAGGCCTCGCGTCCCAGAACGGCGGGTGAATGAAGATGACAATTCGTTTAGCCCACTACATAACCAGTAGCTGGCTCTTGTGAACACGGTGATGAACTATCGCTTTCCATGAAATGCGGAGAAATTCTCGACCAGCTGAGTAACTGTTAGTCTCTCAAGAAGAACTGTACTCAATGGAGTTATTATGCACTCCTTAGGAACTTCGTAGGGTTAGTGTTGACATACGAAGAGGGGATTAAAAACCAAGATCAATGTAAACCACAAAATCTGTCTTAAATGCGAGATCTTCGCCGAAATAATTATCATCTTGCTGACAATGTGCACATGTTAGTTAATAGGGCCCCGTATAAAGAATTATACAGAGGCATCATTTCGGTATTTCATTAACTTTGATTGAATTCAGTAAAAGGTTCTGCTGTAGGCTTTTTCTGGGCATTACAATCTCCGAGAAAAGTAAACCGATGATAGATTCTGCGTCTTGTGTCTGGTGAACTTGCACACGCCTTCCCAGTTCATATCTATTAATTTATTTATCACTGTTTTAGTGAGGAATGTAAACTGTTTGTTTGTAAATAAAGGTCCATAATTTGCCATCGTTAGGTAAAACCAAGGTAGTTTGCTCTGATCTATGTTCTCTACTGTAGGTCTACCTGTTCTGCAAAGGAGCTTCACTGCTTCTGGCTCTATCGTCTAGATTGGCTGGCATGAAAATCGGACGTAATAAAGAAACAGTGTACTAAGTGACAAATTTTACCTTCGATTTTATTATTCACGCCAGCTGGCATACTATCAGATTTTCAAGGACTCTGCTCTAGGCAGTTGTTTCGTTGTATTTATCACTTCGGGTCGTTTATGCTCATGGATCTCATTTTAACTAGCAAAAACATCTAACGAAAAAGCTTCACGAAACTTTACATGAGAGGAAAAAATGGAAGAAAGTATCCTTCTTTTCTTCTTCCTGTATGGAGTCACGAAGTAAATATCATATTTTCCTACTCAAGTGATTCATCCATCTCCTTAGTTATCTTCTTAAAGTCCTGTCTTGTGTTTTATGCTTTACCCCTTAAAAGCCTAGTGGTAATTATATGTTCCATTTCCTTCAAAGATTAACAAAGCTTGCAGTTTGTATTTATGAGCTTCTCACTGCGGATAATGGCAATTTGTTAAACAGTGTTGACCTGTTGATCTTTGTAATGGTGAAGTTCGGTGTTTGATTTGAGTTACGGGCTGAAATTGGAATATTATTTAAATGAGCTTTCGATCGGAAAGATGAGACGACATCGCCTGGGAGCCTTCTTACAGTAAACTTCTCTTCCCTACAGAAACGGTGTCTCACTCGTCCTCCATAATTTTCTCTTTGTTTCTACTCTTCTGCCCTCCTTCCTAACACATCTCTTTTCTTTTCGGCTTCACATGGTTATATAACAGGATTAAATAAATCAAACTTGTGGTTTAACATATAGACCTCATTTTCACTAATGTAACTGCTGGAAATACCCGCAACTCGACAAACACAAGGAAATAAGGGGTCCATACTGGACTGTGCCAGGGTTAGTTCAGCTGGATTCTGGGTAGGACACATCAAACGCCAGATATTTCCAGTAGTTTTCAGAAATGTGGCGTTCCATTACCATTCACTCGGATTCAGTCCGTTGTTGTGGTGGCTTCCTTTATTATGAATAATGGATTTTGCATGTGCTGGGCAGTCATGGAACTTGCATATTAATTATGACCAGTGGCTGTGTCATATAAAATTAATTGACTCACATTGATACCCATAGACGCAAACCATGTATGAAAAGTAAATAAAAGTCTTGTCATCGTGACGCTCTCTGTTTCATTAAACTATTAATTTATCCGTCATTTCTTATCTGAGTTGCAGAAAATTATTTAATACGGTGCTTCATAATTAATATTACCCGCCTAATCCTGTAATGTTAATTATGTAATATGAGGTTGCGCGTGAGTGGTACAAGCATGGAGGAAAATAACAAATTGGTATCTGTTTGTTGAAAAAATTAATGGAAACAGACCATTTCTCTGAAACTCTAATGAAGTGATTAAATTGATTTGTTATCCCATTTTTATGAATATATATTCCAGTTGCCAAATGTTCTGTTATTTACCGTCGTGGCAGTTCATGGTGATCGCTTGATGCATTAAACGATTGACAGACAAGCGATGATCATATATCCCTTTTACACTGCAAAGAACTGTTTATGGCCGCCCAGCAATATGGCCAAGAACGGAGAAACCGAGATATTTGAACGAAACCATTTTATATGCAAGGTAATTTCTCTTCAAAATTCTTTTTCCAAACTGATGTGCATGTAATGAAGATAATTGTCATTTTGCCTCTTCCAGTATCGTCCAAACGGCTTTCAGTCTAAAGTCCAAAATCCAAAATTTCATCAACGTTTACTGGGTAGTTTCGGAGATTTAAAATTCGTGTGTATTACCATCAGTATTTCAAACACATTCACCGAAACTTTTTGACTAGGTTTGACGTTCTGATTCTCTCCTAGCCCATCAGTTACAACACCGGGTATAAAGTAAAATTTCTCAACTGGGAAAGGAGGGGGGGGGGGGCGAAATTGCCTTTGTCATTTTTATGTACCAAAAACTGAACTACCTTAATAAACTTATTTCCTGTTCCTTCAAAAATAAGTACAGGATGCACCCATTTCCGTAGGCTGTATTCGTATCTCTGGCTTGTGGGAAATGTACCTTTAATGTGGCATGCAGTTAAATGGTAAAGGAACCCGTATCCAATGCAGGCAGTTCGTAATCATTTGTTTAGCCACTTTTTACTTGTTGAAATTTAATATGTGGAAAATTCTGCAGATCTAACTCACTTTGGAGTATCTATCTTTGTCTTACGATTTCTTTGTATGATTTCCCGTCCTTCGCTTGAATGGTTCTTTTGTTGTATTTAAGACCCTCAAGGCGGTGAGTATGAAGATAGATATCTTTTGGGATGTTGCGCAGTGTAGTCTGGTAGAAGACTGCCGACTTTTTAGATATGAATACCAGACAACACGGCGCGCAGCATACTTAGAAGACAGCCATCTTCGTGGTCTGTAGGTTATTTAACGATGTTGTTTTAACTACAGACGTTTGCAGATGTTTGCATTCATCTGAAGAGATTGGTGAAAACCACGAAAATACTCGCATTATCTGATAAGAGCCGAGATTCGAACCAGCTACTTCCCTAGTGGGGATTCAGGTCGTTGCCGCTACACCAGTACGCTCGACCGTCGTTGGTCGTGATGTTTATTTACTACAGGCAGACCAACGAACAGTAGAGTAATACGTAAGGGCATCAATAGACCTAAATTTGTCGACGTATTTCCTTTAAATTATGTCGCATTTAGTATATGCAACTGGCATTCATATTGGACGCGAGCCATATTTTGTATACGACCGAACGTCGCGTGAATAGCACTTCTCCGTATTAGATAGGTCCCGTGACTATTCTGACTTACGGAATTCCTCCAGGCAAATTCCGAGAAACCCCTTTAAAATTAGGCCACTGCCGCTTCTTTTCAACATTATTGACAATGTTGTTATTTATTAATTATCCTGCCATTCAACATTAAATAGTCAGAATAACTGAAAGCATAATTATATAAACCATAAATGAAATGTAGATGGCTGTCATCTAGGTTCCACTGTGTAGTCTGGTACAAGTCTACCAGCGTTTCAGATGTCCTTGCTGCCTTCATCATCAAGATGGTGACTAATCCAAACAACAAACTGAACAGTTTCAGATGTGTCTGCAAGGAAGGTCCATGAGAGAACTGCTGGCAATCTCGAGACTGTGCCACCCTGTGGAAATCCAGATAGAACCTACTCAGATCGCATTGCCACAATGGCACGCCATGCTTCTACATCATTTGATACAGGATTTGGAATAGGACTTGGTGCTTCTCAGGAGGCAGGTCATCAAGTTCCAAGATACATACCACACAGACCATCAGACTCAACCCATCAGCAAACCACCTACCAGACAGAACACATGTTGAAAACATCTGGATATATGCCACCTCTTGTTCAACAGCCAGGAATTTTTTATACCAGGCTACCACAACATGGGTAAATTTTAAATGTCTTTTTTTCCATAAATCATTGAAGAGGAGGATCTATTGATTATATTAGTCATTGTCATTATGACAACAGCATTGAAACATAGCAAGCAGGCATAGTTAGTATAGTTATGTTTTAATACCACTTTTAAATGGGAAAATTAATACTGCAAATTGATTTATGTTTTGGGGTGTACTGGATTGATCATTTCCACTTCATGAAACAGTACATGATAATTGGCATTTCCTATTCCAGGCTCTACCATCCTTCATACGTGGTTCCACAACAGCCAGGTAAACCACATATTGTGAGGCCATCAGCACAGTATCCTGCTGGAGTGAGACCCTACTGCCCTCCACCTGCCTGCTTGCAAACAGTGACAGCAGTTGGTAATAGCCAGGATTTGATCCCAGGAATTCTAAAATGCAACAACAGCCTTAATGTCTCGCAGCCAAGGTGATATGAAATTGAAATTTAGTAGGCACTACTGACTGCTTTAACCTCTTCATGCTATGATCTGAGCAAAATATAACATTTGTTTATGAAGTTAAACTCGAGTAGGATTTGAGGTTATGGCAGTGAGTGTGAAGACAGCCAGGTTAAACTTGGCATAAAAGGATTAAGAGGTATTTTTTTTGTGTGTGTGTGTGTGTGTGAAGTGTTTTAAGTTGAAACAATGTTGAATGCACTCATTCTGAAAGTTGTAAAAGTTTAAGCTTTCTCTATAATTTAACTATGGAGTTAAAGCCCAGCCAGGAATTGCTTGTGTAATGAAATTGTATCTCTCTTCAGCATTTCATCACATTCCTCCCAAGGACTGAGGGAACCAAGAATTTTACCAACTATTTCTGCAGTACCATCAAGTAGCAGTACCTCTGTACAGGAAGTGGCTTCAGTAGCTCAAAATCATACGCAGACTTCTGGTCTTCAACATCAAGCAAGGTCTTCTGATTCCCAGATTGAAGATTCTGGTCCTGAGAATCAAGCAGAGACTGCTGATCATCAGAATCAAGAACAAACTTGTGATGCTGAGAATCAAGAAAAGACTTCTGATTGTCAGAACAAAGTACAAGCATCTGATCGACAGATTCAAACACAGGCTTCTGATTCTCTAACTAAAGATAAAAACCCACCAAAGGATTTAGAAGAAATCAGAAAAGCTGCTGAGGCTGCTGCTGAGGAACTGGAAAAATTAGAACAGCTCAAACAAACTACCAAGAAGGATCTACAGAGATTGAAATTAGCCCATGAGCAAGCAGTTGATGAGCTAGCAAGAATGCAAAAGCAGCTAGTGGAGACTGTGGGAGTTCATAAATTAGGACAGGTATATGTTCCACACCTATTATTTGTCTTCTTGCCATACTTCTCTTAATTTTTCATTATTCTTCTTATTCCTTTGTAAATATATGCAACATGTTTTTTTTATAAATTACATTATTTAAATTGTTTATATATGCTGTAATGCAAGTACACATTTTTTCAGACCATTCACCCAAGACCAGCTGTGCCAAGTGCCACTGCAGCGGCTACCAGAAGTTCCTTACCGGAATTGTATGAAACACTTCCAGCAGTTTCACATGAGAGGTGTCAGTCACCTGTTGTACATGATAACCATCAGTCAGCACAAACATCGAGCAATGCTGCAGCTCCTAATGGACATTCAATACCAGAATTGCATACAGTGCTTCCATCAGTTACACAGGAGAATTGTCAGTCAACAGTTGCAAGTGAGAAATGTCAGTCAGGAGATACACATAAGAATCGGCTCTCAGCAGTTACGCATGAATATCATCGATTAGGAATTTCATTTGAGAATGAGACGCGACAAGAATCAATTATCACTTCAGACTGCAGTGGAAGTTCCACATCAGGATTTAATTCAACATTTCCAGCAGTTACAAAAGTGAATCAGCCAACAGAAGTAGAATGCAAGAATCAGCAGTCTGAAGTTGCATGTGGGAGTCTTGAGACCCAACAAAAGCCGAGTGTCTCTTCAGACAGCAATGAAATTTCCGTACCAAGATTAAATACGACTTTTTCAAAAGTTGTGTGGGAGAATCACCCATTACAAATTGAACATAAGAATCACCAGAAACAACAGAAACCAAATGGCACTTCAGACAGCACTGGAAGTGTCACACCAGACTTGTGTGTAACAGTTCGAAAGGATGCACATGAGAATCATCTGAGACAACAAAAATTTAATGTCTCTTCACACGGTACTGGTTCTCTACCAGGATTGAACTTAAAGTTTAAAACAGTTGTGTATGAGAATCAGAAATCTGAAGTTGCATGTGAGAATCAACAATCAGACCCTGCATTCACGAATCACAAGACACATCGGACACCAAGTGTCACTTCAGAGAGTACAGGAAGTTCTGTACCTGGAGTGAATACATTTCCAGCAGTTGTACCAGTGAATCTACAGTCAGAAGTTGTGTGTGAGCATCAGCAGTCAGAAATTGCAAGCAAGGATTGTAAGACACAACAAAAACTTGGTGTTACTCCAGACATTATACATACTGGAACTTCCATGCCAGGATCAAACATGTTATATCCAAAAATTGCATGTGATAATCATCACTCAGAAAGGTTAAATAGCACAGTAAGCACAGTGGAAAATTCTGGACCAACATTGTTTACACCATGTGCCACAACAGGACATCAGAATCAGGAACCAGTACAAAGACCATTGCCTCTGCCACCATCTTTACTATCCCGATCTCAGCCTCCTGTACCAATATCTGTTCCTCAGCAGCGATCACCTTCACAAACATTACCGGTGTCACAACAAATATCTCATTCCCAGTCGCGACCAGTGCCTCATCTACAGACTCACTCAATGGTACTACCTCCACATCCTTTCCCAACTCTACAGAGACCACAACATTCCCAACCAGCATCAGCTGTTCACCAACCTATTCAACCACAACATCCTAAACATTTTCCTGGATCTAGGCCATCTGTTCATCAACAGCTATCATATGTGCCTCAGCGACCATTTTATCCTCACCTGTCACCAGTACCTCAGACATCTCTGCAGTCTCAGTCAGAAACATCTACACATTTTAAATCTTTACCAGTGTCTCAGAGACCTCCATACTCTCAGTTGTCACCAGTGTCTCGGATATCCCCACATTCTCATTCATTACCAGTGTCTCGGATATCTCCACATTCTCATTCATTACCAGTGTCTCAGATATCTCCCCATTCTCAGTTGTCACCAGTGTCTCAGATGTCACGTCCTCAACAAGGATCACTATCCCATCCACCATTACATCGCCAAACATTACAAGTGCCTCAGCACTCACCATCTGGAAATCAACCATTGCAGCTATCAACAGACCAGCTGAGGGGCACAGCAAATATTCCAAAGTCGTCTCTGGAAATGCTTGAAACAAAAAATAAATCAATGCTACCTCCACCTATGAGACAACAGCATGTACTTCCAAAACCACCATGGTTATCAGGTTCTCACATACCTATTTCTGTCCACTCAGGTTGTACATCATTTCAGTCAGCCCCTGTAACTATTACTGTACATTCAAAACGGTCTCCCTCTAATACAAATGTTCCACAAGGCAGTTCAACTCAACATCCTTTGACTATATCACAAGTACCACCTGTGCTCTCCCATACAGCTATTATTTCATCTTCAACTTCTAACAAGTTACCCAGTAGTACTGTTGAAGAATCTCCATTGGACCTGTCAGTCAGTAAACGAAAGTCGCCAAGCAACGACAAAAGCAAACCACCAGTTCCTATTTCATCCACAGTTCTATCACCATACCAGCATATTGAACAGAGTTCCAGACATCATCAAGATAGATCACAAAATCAGCCATCAGTTGTACATCATCCAAATCTTGGGGAACATAACACTGCAGATCACTGCGGCAGATTGTATAACAACCATAGGTTGCCACAATCCCACAACTCGCAACACATATCAGAGAATTCCAGGCTTGAACAGCAGCTTCCAATGTCTACTCAGACTTGCAATAAGAAAATGTTTCCTTCCCACGGTGCATCAATTCCCACAGTAAATTTTGCAACCGTGAATGATGGATTTGGAAGGAGACCTAACATTCATCCAACATCATCAGAAAGTTTAGACAGATATAAACATTTAGAAACTCACTTTCATCAGAACTTTGATAATGGTAGTGTTTTACAGAGACAGCGTGTACATGTCCCTACACATCGTGATATGATGCATTATCACAACCATCCAGTGCAGAGTGCTCATCAGTACCATACGGACAGACCTACACCTAGCAGTTCCTACATTCCAGTTCATCATAAAACAGGGCTTCATGGCCATAAATCAGAGCAGCAGCAGCAGCTGCAGAGGAATGATAATACAGAACCTCACGCTGCATCTGAGAGACAGAAGTACTGCTCAGTCAATAGACGTGGATCACACTCTATAGCATTGACTCCAGACAAGTCATACCAAAATGCTCGTTCTGTGGAGAGTGCACTCTATCAACCACACTCACAATTAGTGTGTGGGCGATGTAACCAGCCAGCAAGTTTCATGTGCTCAGCTTGCCACAATGAATGGTACTGCAGTTCTGATTGTCAGGTAGGTTTATCTAGTTTTTCGATATCTGAATTTTATGTTCAAAGAAAAGCTTATATGCCGACTTGTCTTCTCTGCAAAACATTACTCTGGCCAAAAAGATTTTTAAGTGTCAGTCTCCAAAGAGCCTACGTATATGAAATGTAACTTAAAGTTTAGGGTTTCAATGGATTAGACCTTGCAGGTTCTAATACATATTCTAATAATATGTTATGTCACCATACAAATTTCACACTTAAAGTTAATTCACCAGTTAATATTTCAGTTTTTTTTAATGTTTGTAAAGAAAAAAATTAATAAACGTAGGCATATATTTTAAATATTTATCATAATACAAAACTTAAACACTCTACTTTCAGTAGCGCTAATGTTAAGCATAATTGAAGAGCTACACGGCATCCGTGTTGGTATTGGTGATAAGAGAGATTAGCGAATTTGAAGGTTCCCAATAACATGATGTTTGAACTGTGTTTCAGTGAAATTGTCTGCACTGTGAATAATAATGACATTCATAAATGAATCCTCGTGGACAAACTTACTGTTATATGTAGGTTGCTAATAAGCTTCCAAAGAAAGATCTCTTCTTTTGAAGCCACTCAATACAGATCAGAATGTGGAAAAAAACTAGTTTGAAAAGAGAGCTGGTTTTGTGATTATCTTGACTGAGGGTTTTCATGATTTTCCTCAGTCTTCCTAGACAGATGACAAGGTAATACTTTAAAATAAACAATGACTGCTTCATTTCAAGTCTTCAGCTACTCCTCATCCATGAGCCACCTAGCATTAAGAACAAACTGTGAATTGAACAAACATTTCTGTTTCCAGAACAGCAATACTTTATTCCATACACTGGATGGAAATCTAGTTCAGTACAATTTTTTTTCTTACAATTTTGCACTTTGTACTAATTTGTTTAATCAAATTTTCAATTTCTTTCCTTTCAGTTACGACACTGGAACTACCATTCTGCTGATTGTCACCGACAACAACAGAATGAACACAAGTAGTTGCTCAACAAATTTATAACTGCCATAAGGTATTTTACTTTTGTTTTATAAAAGTGAATGTAATATTGGCCTAACATGGCCATGTATTTTCAATTTACACATATTTCAATACTGGAACAAAATAAAAAAACAACAACCATTATTTAATTTTTATTCTGAAATAGTTTTACATGTTATTGTATCTTGTTCTTAAAGAGACTAGTATTAAAAAGCAGTTGAGGCTGTGTGTGACCAAACTGTGATATTGTGTACCTCTTCTAAGCTTAACTAAAAATGTTTTAAACTAGTCTCAATATACCACTTTTAATAAGATTAACCAAAGTGTTCATGTGTTGGTATTACCAGCACAGAACAGTGTATTCTCATGTGGAAGGAGAGATGTATAGCGTTTTTCTTACATTTTTGTTACAACTGATTTAAACTTGAGAAGCTTGTTTATTAGTTAGTTTTTTGTATGTTGCGTACATAACTGTTTGTACGTGCGCACCGTAGCAGAGGTGGCAATCAAATTGTTTGTGTTGTGAATGGATACCAACATTAGATCAGAAATGGATATTTTTGGTATGGAAAATTTCTGCAGTTATTTTATATGTTGTGGTTGTATGTATGGATGGTCATAAAATTATTCACATTAGTATCTGTGTTTGCATAGGTTAACTTTCATTTTTGTTATAACTCATGTCCTACTTTTGTTGTTTTGCAGTACATAGATTTATGCATATAAAAGACTTTGTGATGTTTGTAATGTGGAGAGAAATGGTTTTGTTCTTGTATTAAATACAGTCATGGGAGATGAAAAATAGGTGCTCTAAACATCATTTGGTAGCTGCCTCTGCCATCAGCATTTTTATCTCGGTGATTTTCATCTGGTGTCATCCCTTTGGGTGCATGAAAGTTGTCCGTGAAACTTTATGTAGTCAAGAGCATCACGTTCTTAATGACAAGTGTAAATAATTTTCTTCTTTCTCTGTTAATATATAAGAAATCTATGTTTGTTACAACTGTAGAATGCACAGTGACTTACATTGGAAACATAATATGGAACCTACGGACCTGTGAGGTCACTCGGTTGTATAGACGGTGAATTGGTTTCAGATATTTTATGTTTTGCAGTCCCACACAACCTGTTAAATTCTGTGGTGCTGATCTTCTTTCGAGTGCTTGGTGTGGAACTACAGCATGACCTTTGTAAAATAATTGTAATGTTCGTGTTCAAAAATGAAGGTGTGGAATAATGCGGAAAAAAGGGGGGGAAGGATGTGTGATGTATTATGAAATAGAGACTGGTGTTCTCAAGTAAGGGTGTATAACAGTTGTGTGGGACTGCATAACATTAAAAAATTCAAAGACATTAATTTCCCATCTTTTGGCTGCTTTCGGACCAGTCTGAAAAAAAAAAAGCTCCATCCTTCAAGCATTGCGTACTTGGTTCTTGTATTGTAATTGCATTTTCATTTGAGCATGTTGAGACTCACTGAGATATTCTGTTAATTTGCTGTTTACTTATATTTCAGTGCAGTCTTATTTACAGTATTTTAATATGAAATGTTGTGACAATCAGTATAAAGAATTAGGTAGAAATACTTGTTAACAGTGTAAGTAACAATAGAAAAACAAAAGTGAAAATAAGTGCTGTGATTATAAAAAATAACTACAAAACTAATGCATTTAAATTAGTTTAGTAAAATAAAGCTCAAAATTATTATTGATTATTAATACACACAAAGTGTCACACACATGATGCGCCATTGAAACTGGCCCCTAAGGAATGTGAGACATAAAGTAGCTATGTCGGTACGTTCATTGTGAAGTAAAGATTAGGAATAAGTTTGTCATTTTTATAAATATTTGTTGTAAGAATGTATAACTACATGGATTCAGTTTGTGAGTTGGTATTTGTAACTGTATTGTGTAATACTAGAAACAGTTGAATTTTATGTAGGGCTCGAAATTGAATTTGCTTACGAGTACTTCATGGGTTACGCACAGGATGTTAACGACATTCCTCTTTTTTCTGATGCCTTCAGTTTTATGTAATTATATTAAAAGTTTGTATTTTAATTTTTCAGATGTGTTTAAACTTCTCATATATTAATCTTTTAACAAACTTTGTCTTTAGTTAAGGGCAGTAGAAATAATACATAATAAGTAACTTACAGATACAGCGAAGACTGGAATAATCATCTGATACTCTGTTGGTTCTGTGCATGCCGTCAAACACAGAAGATGAAGCCATTTTGTTTAATCAAGGCGTTCTGTTCACAGTAAGAAAGGTTAACGTTAGAAGTAATCCAGTAGTTTGAGAAGTAAAAATTATGATATGAATTTACTATTTCAGTGTTCTCATCCATTTTTGGGCTGTGCCAAACTTGTGGGTCATGAAGGTGCATTTGAAGGAGGGGGCTTAATAAAGTTAAGGTTTTATGAAAATGACAAAAGATTACTTTTCTGTATTGACATGGTCATCAGAATTTTGCAAATGCATACTACTTGATGGAAATTAAAGTAATTTAAAGGTACTTGGGGGGGGGGGGGGTTA